CCCCCTTGAGAATGTCAAACAATGGTTTAAGCTCCCCTGTAGTTAACCCTAGATAAGGTCTAATCTAGTTGATATCCCCCAGCAACTTTTGAAAATCATTCAAGGTCTGGAGCTTGTCCAGCCGAAGGTGAACTTTTTGACAGAAAAATCGGTCAGGCTCTAGATGAAAACCAAGATAAGAAAACGGGGGCTGCCTCTGGACCTTTTCTGGGGCTATGACCAGGCCTTGTTTTTGCAAGTCAGATTCCATTTTCGCAAATGCCCGGAGGAGCAGTCCCTCATGGCGAGCGGCAACGAGGATGTCGTCCATATAGTGACAGATATATACTGCTGGATACTCGCGCCTTACCTGAGCTAAGGCCGTTGCCACAAATTTTTGACACAGGGTCGGGCTATTGGCCATTCCCTGAGGCAGCACTTTCCAGTGATATCGCTGCATAGGCTCCTGAAAATTTACTGATGGTACACTGAAGGCAAATCGTGGACAGTCCCGGGGATCAAGGGGAATGGTATAAAAACAATCTTTCAGGTCAATAATAATCTTATATGTATCACGGGGTATGGCCGCAGGTGAAGGCAAGCCTGGCTGGAGGGCCCCCATGAGCTCCATGGTCTCATTCACCTTCCTAAGATCCTGGAGTAATCTCCATTTCCCTGACTTCTTCTTGATCACAAATATAGGTGAATTCCAGGGAGAATTAGACGGCTCAATGTGGCCTTGTTGGAGCTGCTCCTGCACCAGCTCCTGGGCAGCCTTTATTTTTTCAGTAGTCAGGGGCCATTGATCTACCCATACAGGAAGATCTGACTTCCAGGTAATTTTATCGGCATGGGTAGCAGGAGAGTCAAAGGCCCCTCCTAAAAATACCCCAGGCCGGCGCGCCCTGGCCGGGGCAGGGGTTGTAAGGGTTCAGTAATGCCCTGCCCTTCTCTTCCTAATCCTTGATCTGGTAGCAGCCCTTGATTAAGTAGTTGTTGTGTAACCGCTGGACTCGAGCTGTGGAGATACACCCCCATGTGCTCCATGACATCCCTCCCCCACAGATTTACAGGTAAATCTGATAAGACATAGGGCTGAAACTCTCCTTGATGTCCCTCATTGTCATGCCAACGTAAAACAGCAGAGCTGATTTTGGGGGTTTTGCTCTGACCTATACCTTGTAGGTCGGTCAGTGCAGTCTGAATAGGCCAGCTGGCAGGCCAATGCTTTAAGGAGATAACTGAGACATCCGCCCCAGTATCTAGTATACCTTTAAAGGCCTTCTCATTGATCCAAAGTGTCATCTCTGGCCGATCCTTCTTAATGGGCTGCATCCAGTAAGCATCGGAAGATCCAAATCCTTGGGACCCGCGAGCCTTATTCGTCATGACTTTTCCCTGTTCTACCAGCGGCAACAAAATAAGCTGGGCAATTTTCTGACTTTTATCTACTGTCACTACATTGTGAGGAGCATGAGCCATAACCTTCACCTCTCCGGTATAATTCTGGTCTATGACTCCAGGGGCCACTAACAATCCTTTCAGGGTACTACTGCTGCGTCCTAAGAGGAGTCCCACCGTTCCTGCGGGCAGGGGACCGTAGACCCCAGTAGGCAGAGCCTGCATTCCCATGGCCGGGGTCAGTACTGTGTAGGCGGCGGAACTGAGGTCCAGTCCGGCGCTCCCTGGGGTGGCTCGGAAGAGGTCACAAATGGATTGTTTCCGGGGGGCTTCCCCCAGGTTTCCCCCTGTAGAGCCCCATATGTTTGCGGGGCCTGGGGCCGGCCCCTCTGCCAGTTTCCCGAGTGAGAGGGTAAGCTAAGAGGCCGCCCTTGCAGATCAAGCTTGGACTTACAATCCCGGGCCCAGTGATTCCCCTTTTTACATTTCGGGCAGAGCCCTGGAGGCGCCCCACGGGGAGGCCCCGCAGGAGCCCCTGGAGTGGCAGAAGGAGGCCTCTGCGGGCAATTTCTGGTGAAATGGCCCAATTGGCCACAGGAAAAACAACTGCCGGGGGGCCCAGGGACTCGCCGTCCCTTGCCGCGCCCCTTTCCCTGTTGCTGTAGAAATTGCTGCATTGTTTGTCCCCGCAGGGCAGCAGCGAGGGTGACTCCCGTCGTGTAGGAGGGCCCAATATCTTGGCAAAGCCTAATGTAATCATTGAGGGACCCCTTGTGGCGATAGGGTCGTAGGGCTGCCTGGCATGCAGTATTAGCATTTTCAAAAGCTAATTGTTTCACAATGATTATTCCAGCCTCCCCGTCCCCTATCAGCTTCCCTGCGGCATCAAGGAGCCGGGAGACAAACTCCTGGTAGAGCTCATCCGGGCCCTGTCTGATCTTAGTCAGATCCATAGTTACATTTTTAGTAGTAGGTAATTTCTTCCAGGCCTTCCTGGCCGCGGCAGAGACCTGGGCATAGGTCCCTACCCCAAATTGTAACTGAGCCGGGGTGTCCGCATACGGCCCTTCCCCCAGCAGACCCTGAAGGTCAGAGGGTATGTTATTCCTCACATTTAATCGATGGACTTTTTCACATTGTTCTGTATACTCAGATTTCCACAGTAAGTAATCCCCTCCAGACAGGCAAGCTCGAGCTAGCTGTTTCCAATCGTTGGGGCACATGTTGTATTCCGTGTCCAACGCCTCTAAAATGGCCTCTGTATACGGAGCCGTAGGCCCATATTGTGCACAAGCCATTTTAAGCTCTTTTAATTTCTTGAAATCTATAGGGCCATAAAATCTCTGGGGGGGATTATTACCCTGGCCAGGCTGTTCAAACACCGGACAACACATCGTCGACTCAGAATCAAACCCTTCCAGGTCTTCCCCTCTTAGCCGAGCCTGGCTAAGTGCCATCTGAAAGGGGGACATTGGGGTGGCGTCTGTGCGCACCTTTCCCCAGCCAGGGTCCCGAGCCTGACCTGGGCTCTTCTGGGCCAGGGCAATCATGGCCCTCTCCCGAGGATCGAGAACCCGGACCCCGACGGGAGTCCCTACCCCCACTCCACTCCCCTCAGCTGGGATGCCCCCTTCCTCACCAGGATAGCCTGGAGGGTCTTCTACTAAATCTATGAGCAGAGGGCCGGCCGCCATAGGTTTCCCAAAGGGCGGCCCGGGGCCAGCACGACCCCCGCCCTGTGGGTTCTCAGGTGGAGTTTCCTTCATGACCTCCCGCAAGGCTCGTACTTGGCTCATCATGGTCTGCATCTGCTTTTGCAACCCTTCAACTGTGAGGTCAGGGGCCAGGAGACTGCGCTTGTTTGTGCTTTCCTGCGACAGGAACACCAATTCCCCATACCTGTCTTTTTCATAAGCTGCCGCAGCCTCATCTGAATCTTGTTCCTCCTTGGGGCTTAATTTGTCTGACCGGACACTGAGTAGCTCCACCGCGGAAGCCTCGCCCCCCAGTTGCGAACCCTTCACAGGCTCGACTGGTGCCTCTGCAGGGGGTGGCTCCATGCGCACCCCTTCATGCCGGGGATCAAGGCAATCTCGGACCAAGGTCCAGAGTGAAAAAGCCTCTACAGGCACTTTCTGAGGGCCGTGTGCCTGGAAAAAAGCCTGTATACGCTCTCCCACTTTATTCCAAGTTTCTAAATTAACAGTGCCCTCCTCAGGAAACCAAGGGCACACCTCCTCCACAAACTGCAAAAAATTACGTAGCTGGGTGGTAATAACCTTAGCGCCCCTAGAACGGAGTATTGTTTTCAAAACCTGTGCGAAAAGCACCTTGCTGTTCTCCTGGCCCATGATTTCTTACTCCCGATATACTGACCGCTCCCTCCGGCTATCACTTACTCGATAGCTATCCGCGCGGCCCCGAGCGGTGTCCTCTACCGTGTTCCCAGGTTTTCAGGTCCCTGTTCGGGCGCCTCTTGCCGGAGCCTGCCGGCAGTCGAGCAGTAACCTGATTGAGGGGGTGAGGATTGGAAAAGAAAGACAAGAGACAGGATGGGATCGGGAGGGCTTCAGTACGTGACTGAGCCCCGAGTTTATTTTTCAGCTTGTACTTATAGCACACTTAATGCGGAAGCACATAAACTTAGTGATCCTTGCCCAGTTTCTGCTCTCCGTCCAGTTCCTTGTTCTTACATGCCCATTCTTGTCTTGTACATACATCATTGGTAGCTGGGACATGCTACATGCCCATTCTTGTCTTGTACATACATCATTGGTAGCTGGGACATGCTACACTTCTAACCCGGCCACGGTTCCTGGATCAAGGTACCTCCTCATGCAAGCATTGTTGATATTGGCCCCATGCTGAGCTACTCCTCATACAAGCATTGTTAATCTTAAGCTTAGCCAAGTCCCTAAGGAGGGGGAGCGGGGGGAGCAGGGCGAGTGCTAGCACCGCTGCCCACCACTCGGGTCAATGCCTCAGAGATTTCTCTCTCGATGACACTAGGGCAAGCGGGCCTCCCGGGTCTTTTTCCCTGGGCAGCACCTCGCCCGGCGGGTCCTCCCCGGGGGGAGTCCCGCCGGCTCCCCACAATCCCCGCTTCCCTCTGAAATACATCAGTCTGTTCCCTGCTTCAATGCCTCTGGATCTATTTTGTTCATCAGTTTATTTTGTTCATTAGATTCCACATATAAGTGAGATCATGTGATATTTGTCTTTCTCTCACTGGCTTATTTCATTTAGCATAATACTCTCCTGGTCTCTCCATGTTGTCTCAAAGGGTAAGAGACCCGTCTTTGTTACAGCTGCATAGTATTCCATGGTGTAAATGTACCACAGCTTTTTATCCACTCATCTACTGATGGGCACTTGGGCTGTTTCCAGATCTTAGCTATTGTAAAAAACGCTGCTATGAGCACAAGGGTGCATATATTCTTTCTGATGGCTGTTTCAGGATTCTTAGGATATATTCCTGGAAGTGGAATCACTGAGTCAAATGGCAGTTCCATTTTAATTTTTTGAGGAAACGCCACACTGTTTTCCATAGTGGCTGCACCAGTCTGCATTCCCACCAGCAGTGCACTAGGGTTCCCTTTTCTCCACACCCTCGCCAGCATATGTCATTTGTTGATTTGTTGATGGCAGCCATTCTGACAGGTGTGAGGTGACACCTCATTGTCATTGTAATTTGCATCTCTCTGAAAATTAGTGATGTTGAGCATTTTTTCATATGTCTCTTGGCCATTTGTATGTCCTCTTTGGAGAAGTGTCTATTCAGGTCCTCTGTTCATTTTTTAATTGGGTTATTTGTCTTCCTTTTGTTGAGTTGTATGCGTACTTTATGTATTTTGGAAATTAACCCCTTATCAGATTAAGATACTTAGGAATAAACTTAACCAAAGAGGTAAAAGACCTGTACTCAGAAAACTACAGGGCATTGAAAAAAGAGATAGAAAAAGATATAAACAAGTGGAAGAATATACGGTGTTCATGGATTAGTAGAATTAACATCATTAAAATGTTCATACTACCCAAAGAAATCTATAAATTCAATGCAATCCCTATTAAAATACCAACAGCATATTTCACAGATCTAGAACAAATACTCCAAAAATTCATATGGAACCAAAAAAGACCCTAAATAGCCTCAGCAATCTTGGGAAAGAAGAACAAAGTTGGAGGGATCACATTACTAAATATCAAGTTATACTACAAAGCCACTGTAATCAAAACAGCCCAGTACTGGCTCAAGAACAGGCATATAGATCAATGGAATAGAACAGAGACCCCCAAAATCGACCCAAGCCATTACACTCAATTAATATTAGACAATGGAGGCAAGAGCATACAATGGAGTAAAGACAGTCTCTTCAATAAATGGTGCTGGGAGATTGGACAGGTATGTGCAAAAAAATGATATTATACCACCAACTTACACCATACACAAGATTAAACTCAAAATGGATAAAAGACTTAAATGTAAGTCGTGAAACCATAAAAATCCTAGAAGAAAATGTAGGCAGCGAAATCTCAGACATCTCATGTAGCAGAGTTTTCACAGAGATGTCTCTTAGGGCAAGAAAAACAAAGGAAAAAATTAACAAATGGGACTACATCAAACCAAAAAGCTTCTGCACAGCAAAGGAAACCAGCATCGAAATGAAAAGGGAACTCACTGTATGGAAGAACGTATTTTACCCTCTTGTTTTTTTAAGATAGCTTAAAATAGATATAGAACTTTAGATTGACTAATACTTTCACCGCTTTGAATACATTTTTCCTGTCTTCGCTGTTGCAGTTGAAAGTCACCCATACACCTGTCTACCTTTTCTTTGTAGTTGACTTGACTCTTTTCCTGCAGCTGCTTACTATCTTTACTTTTACTTTGGGGTTGTACATTTCGTTATGATGTGTCTAGATTTTTTGCTTGGGATTTATTGGGCTTTGTTGGGCTTCCTGGGTCTAAACATATCTTTCAATAATTAGAAAAATATTCAGCCGTTACCTCTTTAGATTCTGCCCTTTTTCAACTCTCCATATCACCTTCTTTAAGGACTCCTTTTAGACGTAGATCAGACATTCTTATTCTCTCCTCCATATATCTTAATTTCTTTCATATTTTTCATATCTTTGTCTTTGAACTTATTTTGGATAATTAATTTGAATTTATTTTCTCTTTTTAATTGTGTTTTAATGGTAATTTAAGCCAATTTTGAGATTTTTTATTAAAATTATTTCCAGAGGTTGTTTTGCAGATTTGTTTCCTCCTATTTTCAAGTGTCACATTTTTTTTTTTATATATATCTCTTTATTGATTTCAGAGAGAGGAAAGGAGAGGGAGAGAGAGAGAGATAGAAACATCAGTGATGAGAGAGTCATTGATCGAGCCCACAACCCAGGCATGTACCTTGACCAGGAATCGAACCCCGATTGCCTGGATCCTAGGTCGATGCTCAACCACTGAGCCACGCCTGGCCGGGCGTCACTCTTATTTTTTTAAACACATTATACAAAGTTATTTTTTATCCTGTCTTGAAATTCCAAAAGCTGAAATTTTTATAGGCCTACTTCTGCTGTCCATCGATTCTATCTTTTCTCACTAATTATTCTTTATTTCTTTAAGCTGTTCTTTACTTTGAAATATTATTTGTGAATATTTTGATCTCTAGATTGGAGCTGAATTCCTCCAAAGATGAGTTTCTTCTACCTGGGGGAACTACCAAACTGGGATCACTTTATTTATTTATTTATTTATTTATTTATTTATTTATTTATTTATTTATTTATTTATTTATTTAATTTATTTATCTTCATCCGAGGATATGAATTTCATTGTTTTCAGAGAGAATGGAAGGGAGAGAGGGAGAGAGAGGGAAAAACTGATGTGAGAGAGACACATCGATTGGTTGCCTCTTGAATGCGCCCCAACAGGAGCCGGGGATTGAGCCAGCAACCAAGGTACGGGCCCTTGGCCGGAATGGAACCTGGGACCCTTCAGTCCCGGGTCCAATGCTCTAACCACTGAGCCAAACCGATTAGGGAAAACTGGGATCCCTTTCAATTAAATTCTATACTAGAGGCTTTTGGGGTCACACAGGTAGCATGAATTAGAACTACAAAACTATTAAGGGCCGGTTTATGTTACTGAGAACTTACAATAACTTTAATTTCATAATTTGTGGTCCAATATTTGGATTTTTACAGCTTGAGCTGTGAAACTATTTGCAGAGCATAACGTTGCCCTCCTGTGCTCCACTTGCTTCATCCCTGAACCAGCCAACCATTGAAAGTCCAGGTGCCCCAACCAATCAGAAAACAAATGATGTAAGTTTATGGTCCTATTTCCCTAGCAACCCATCTCTTTGATCAACAATTGCTCGCAACATTTGTCTTTATAAACCATGGCCTACCCACTCCTTTTTTAACGTATTCTCAGTTCATACTGAGGGACTACATTTCCCAGTTTGAAAATCATCTGAATAAACTCTCTTTAAATTTCTTTTTAAAGTTATCTCTGGGCTTTTGTTTATATTATGAATCTTCAAAGGATATTTTTCACCTCCACCCAGTCTCATTTTCAAGACAGGCAAATCTCTTTTCTTTTTTTAAAAATTATTTTTATTATTTTATTGATTTGAGAGAAAGAGAGAGAGAGAAACATTGATTTGTTGTTTCACTTATTTATGCCTTCATTGGTTGATTCTTGTATGTGCCCTGACAGGATTGAACCTGCAACCTTGGCATAACAGAACGATGCTCTAACCAACTGACCTACTGGGCCAGAGCACGTTTTAAATGCTTATTTTGGCTTCTGTACATTGCTTCGCTAGGTTCCCACTCCTCTCCATGCCAACCAGGATATAGTTTTTGCCTTTATATTCAATCTGCTGAGACTGTTCAGGGCTGCGAGTTTGTTCAGGGTAGGAGCCCACTCGCAGTCGCTGGCTAATAAATCTCCAAACGGTTAATTTGGTCTCTGTGTGAAATAATCTCCCGAACGCCGGGTATAACAGGATCTTATCGAAGTCACATGGGGAATGGTGTTTCTTTGCAGTATGCCACTTCCAAGAACACAAAAAGGTGGAACTGTTAGCCGTGAAATGGCACCAGGTGTTACTGGCTGAGTTAGACTGGACCTCAGTTCAGCAACCTCAGTACTTGGGTTTTGGCTAAGAAAGAATTCAGATTCAAGATTCAAATACAATCAAAAGTTTATTTATAAAGTCACAGAGGTAGATGTGAGCTGTGGAAGAAGTGAGCCAGTTGGGCTGTGTGGGCTCAGGAAACAAGTTCCGTAGGCAAAAGAGGTGTCCTTGGAGCTTAGGAGAAAGGATATACACACCTGGGGGAAGGCGAGTGGGGAA